AAAAAATTAAACTTGGTTTGTTCTTTTAACCATGATGTTTTTACAAGATCTAATTGTATAACTCAAATATTTTCAGTCCAATATTTTAAAAATACAGCAGCTCACATCTGATTTTAAAAATACTGTGGTGCATTTCTTATTTTAAAGATACAGCAGGGCACATCTGATTTAAAAAATTCAGTAAAAAAAAAATTTAAAAGCATGTTCCAAGTCCTTGCTTGTACCAGATGTAGGAGGAAGGGCCAGTCTACATAGGACGAGGTTATTCCATATTCCTCATTACGAGGAAAGTCACTGCCATACGAGGTTGTTCCAATTTTAGGAAAAAAAATATGTTGAAGATTTTATTCCATTTCAGTAAAAAAAAAATTCGAAAAATACGAGGTTATTCAGGTTATTCCTGAGGATGATATTCCTGACGAAATTAAATCTCCACGACATTATTCCAGCTTGACGAGGTTAGTCCTGGCGACGTTATTCCAGCCACCCATAATAACTGAGGGGTGGCTGGAATAACGTCGCCAGGACTAACCTCGTTAGAAACAAGGGGAGGAATGTTCATGGGTTGAGGACTTGATTGCCTTGGAGCAAGGGAGGTAATTTTGTTGACTGGTGCCAGCCAAACAGTTGCATATGGCTGGGGGTTCTTTGCCAATTTTTCAAATTTTAAATCAGACCTGGAGCAGCCAACAATTTTGCCAGCTCTGGGCTCTGCTCTGATTTGTCTAAAATTGCTCTGATCAGGTTTCCGCTCAAGTCCTTGTTCAAAAGTGAACTGGCAGAAATAGTCTTCATTTGCAGGTATGACTGATAAAAAATATGCGTGAAAGGTCCTGAATTTCTTCAATGTGAAAAACAAAACAAGGTTGAAACCATCTCAAGAATCCCATCAACAATGTTCATTGGTTTAGTTCCTTTTTTCTTGCGGGTTTGACTCCATGATTTGGGAAGGATGACATCAAACAGTCATCTTGTCATTACAATTCTGGGATTGTTGAAATTCCTTTGTGTCCGGCATGGAGTTAAATGAATGTAGGGCTTTTTACGGACTCTTTTCATTTAAATGAATAGTGTTGTTTGGCTCACGTCAATTTTTAACTAAATGCATTTTGTTGAACTTATAAAAATTAATCTTACTTCAGACTTGGAGCAGCCAAAACTTTTGCCTGCTCTGCTCCAGCTCCAAGTCCCTCTTCAGATCAAGAATACGCCATTCAAAATTATCCTCAGATTTTGTTTGTCTTCCGCGATGTTTGGTGAATGGCAAGGACTTACGGGAAACCCGTCGAATCACGATTTTCGTCACTTTCGAAGGCCGCAGTGAGCGCGACTTGCAAACGCATATCTTCAAGACAGGCAAGGTGAAACAGTGCAGTACTGTACATGACTGAATAATTCTCGTGCGACTGTTCACATGGTGTTCCGGACAGACGCAATGAGATCAACAGCAATGCTGGCGGAGAAAAATGCAAGAGAGGGAACTAGGATTCCTGTGTCCACGTCAAATCTCCTATCTGAATTCAGCTCACTTGCCCGAGAATAACCTCCATCATGACTTTTGAATTTCGAATTATCGTCTGACGCGGAGTGATGACAGGATCATCGACACGCAATTCGTCATCAGTTGTCAAATGATCACGAAGTACATACATTCCCTAGTTGCTTCACGTTTACTCGAACATACGATTCTTGTAGTGAGAAGTGCTCGTGCCAACACGCAAGTAATTTCTCCAAAAGAGATACTTCGCATCATCTTTCAGAAACATCTTCATCAATTGATGCCAGCAACCATTTCAATGACAATAAAATCAGAAGGTCAATCCAACTGGGTACACAGGATACAAACAACACTGTACATACTCTAGCAGCCTAGAGAGCTACCTACCTACCGTGTACAGTACAGTACACAGTAGACATTGTCTCAACTCACTTGTAGTATTCGTTCGCCGTTGGCATATCGAACCTATTGAGATACTCCTTATCCGCCTTCTGATAGACAATGATATCACCGTCCGTCAGCTCGTCCTGGTTGTTCTTGTTGGACACCAGGCAAGCCTCTTCAATCGGCGACACGCAACTCGGCTTCACCTCCTCAAACAGCAACAACTTAGTGTCCCTCGAGTAACCGGCACGCTCGTTCAACATCGGGAACAGGTCGAGCCACGTGTCGTTCTCCGACATGAAGTGGTGGCCCACATAGTAGACTCTTCGATCTCGGGGCTCGTAAAGCTTGAGGAAGATGAGCGTCGTGCGGGCGGTGAGACACGGAACGGTGAGCGACGGGTCAGTGGCCGGCAGCACTTCCAAGAACACATTCCAAGGATTATTGTTTTCGGCTATCTCCATCACGCACGTGTTCTCGCCACCGAGCATGGGCTCCAGACGACATCTCGATCCTATCCGCTGCGTGGAATTCTTCCGTTGGACGATGGGCCAAAGTCGCAGCCGATCCGCAGGGATCACCTGTGTACAACACCACAAGAGACGAAAGTATCAACTACTGAGTACAAAAATACAAGCTTGCCAACTCTTTATTTGTTTGTTTGGCAGGCTTCGAGAGTGCAGTGTGGACAAACGAAAGCAACAAGTTCCTCACAGAGCCCGATCTGGACATACCTCGGAAATTCCGCCCGGTCTGTAATGTAAATGCGATATAGAAATAGCATCTACGGACGAGAAACCCGACAATCGCATGTCACGTATCTTCCCTTCAACAGGCTAGAGCGCGCAATTTCGCGTGAAGCATCAATATTTGTGAAATTTTAATTTTCAGAAAGCAAGTGAGACCTTCTTACGGTAACGTTTCATCATGACAATAATTATCACGTTCGTAGATTCTCTTTCCTATACAGGCACAAAATCGAGGTCAAGTACCATAACATTCTCACACAGACCCAGTGACACGCATGCATCAGCTAGGATTGGCACTGAAACACCATTTTCAGAAGTCACATACAGCAAAGCAACTAATCCTTTACAAGCGTAAATCAGACTTGCAAATATTCCGTCATACTATTTTACATGAAAAGGGGTACAGCACAGTACCGTACAGTATAGCCAGGTCTCAAACATGCCCTCCACGGATGCTACTCCCAGTGACTCGATAATAGTACTACGAAAAGCTGTTCTTACGGAAGCCAGTCACCCAACGAAGTCAGCAACGACAAGCAGTTGATGGCTCCTTTCAACTCACGAAATGGATGGACAGGGGTGCTCCATCGAGCCAATTCACTCTAGTGTACTGTACCGGACAGCACATGTGATATAACCACGAGCGGAGCAGACAACTTTCGATCACGCGTTCGACGATGACTCCTTTCCCTTTTCGGAGGCAGTGATCAAGTACCGCATTTCACTTATATTCGCTGACATCAGCTTTTTCCATCACAAAACCGTTCCAGGAAAGTGATTCCCCGTCCCCATTATAAGGAACATTTGAGATCAGTTGACGACGTCAACAGCAAAATGAGGTCAGACTATGACGTCTCCATCCGGCATTACAAGTTTCACGCAAGAAAAAGGAGGAACTACAGCTACAATGCTTGCTTCTATCACGTGCCCAATACAATTTCAACGGGCAACATTTACAGCACGGTACTTCAATTTTTAGTGGAGAAATTCCTCCCACTCATCGCACACTGTGTGTCCCAATAGGGTCGACCCTCAAGTATATGCGCCATTCATCTTCAGACTCGAATCGAGAAGGGATTTCAGCATAGCGACAAGAGAGACACATGGACGAGGTCAACAACTCACGTAAGCTCTCGACAGTGCTTCCTCCAGTTCCGAAACCAAGGCCAATTTCCGGATCCGGAATGTCTTCCAGCTCGATCGTTCCGGGTCAAACAGGTCCGTCAATTGGTGACCCACGAAGTCGTCCTCGGTCACGACATTCACGCTCATGAACTGGTGTGTTTCATTGCGCTCCTTTCTCCTGGCCGTCTCCAGTCGCTTCTCCTCGTTGATACGCAAAGACAGCTCACCGGGGATGTCACCCTCCGTCACATCGGCGAGGACCCACGCCAGCGTTGAATCCCGAATGTACACCAACATGTACGCGTTGGTGCAGTGTTTCACTCCGATGCTCATTTCGTCGTCATTGCCGCCAAAGTTGTGGTCTATTGCCTCAATCTTCCGCGGGAAAACGAGAAAAACAGATTGCCAGCTCCCATCATTCATTCCTTCAGTCTTAAAATTCAGCAGGTACGCAGGGCGTGCTATGAACCCGAGTTTCGCATCAATTTCGTTCAATGCAACATCTAAATTGAGTCTCGCACTCGTTCCTCGCGAGTTCAACCAACGTTGAAACGTCAACAGTCATGCTAATTACACGTCATGGTGCTAAAAAAGACGATTGTGAACACTTTTCATTTTGCACGTTATTAACCGAGCACCGGGGGGGGGGGGGCACAAAGATTTCTCTTGAAACTATGCTACGTTGCAGTCTATTCCTTCATTGCACTTTTGAAGTGCCTTTGCCCTCACAAGTACAATATTTCACCAACTTCAACATGCACATTATGCAGCATTACCTTTGAGCATTTCGATACGACATCATCGTCAAACTTGCACCATTTCCCGTCACCACGCGGGTTGATGAACACCACATAATGGCCGCCATGATTGTCGCCGGAGTGCACCAGAACAGCGTGCAAGGTATACGTTGCAGGCGTCTCTTCAGGGCTCTATAACATAAGTCCAGTAAAATAATTAACTGAAAGCCCAGCGGGCAGGATTGTTCACTCAACGTTCAAGAAAGAATTACTAGTTCGCCTTTCAACTAGATCCGCACAACCGAAATAGGGTAAGGATACAAGCATGACCCTCGTCTGTAAAATAACTTACGAACAATTTTGGCAGTGAACGCAAATCGGACAGGACGCAATTCGCTCATTTCCAAACCCAAAGCAAGCACACAACTCAGCTCTGTACATGTACCGCACTCAAAAGAACTGATACGAAGAGGGAGAGAGCAAGATCATCCCGCACTCATTTCCCACAAAAAATGCTAATGTAGGAATCATTGCAGCATCCGCATTGATTTTTCCACCACCAAAGATGGCTCTCACCTTCAAAAACTCGCCGAGATCCAGCTGGTAGGGAAATTCGAAACGATCGTTGATCTTGACGTTCGTGTCCGACAATGGGTCGTACTGGAACCGCATCAAATGCAAATACAGTACAGGCGGAAACTGAGTGAACTGCACGCCTTTTACTGCATCTTGCATACCAAGCTGTCCAGCATCATATCTGTTCTCGCCCTCCAACGTCTCAACTTCTATGTAATCTTTGAACGATTCGTAGACTACGGGAAAAATACAATACGCATGAAGAACAGAAGCAATGCGAGTTCAAATACTGTACTACACAAGAATTAACCGATCAATTCGAGCAACGGAACTAAACTGCAAAATCTGGATGATTCAAGATACTGCCCTTAACCTCAACCGTCATAATTAACGAGCGTACCATACGCCATTAATACTCAGGACAGTAAAATGCAATTCAGTGCTTTACTAGAAAGCGACAGTGTAATCTGTAATGTATCATCCTATGAGTTGAACGTATGCTCCACTTTTTGCGGAGGATCACATTTACAATTTGCCAGCGCAATGTTTCACCCTTCGGTCCGTGGACCAGTGACCACCTGCGGACAATTTTCAAACTCAAATTCCCAATCGCTGCCATACCCCGCCCTCAACAAAACGAACTCTCTCCTAGCAATTACTGTATATTCAAGATACAGTAAACAAGGAAACTTTCGAACCAACTGCTCTCCCGCACGAAGAGTAAATCGACAAGAAATCTAAAATCTTAAAAAAAAAGGAGAAAGACATCCCATCAAAACTTTCTGAGAATATTAAAGAGAAATTTTTCGGACATATTCTTCTGAACTTGAGCTAGGTTATACCGTAAATTGCTCACTCGTAGCAGATCATTCAACATCACGCGTTAACTGGGCTACTTTACTGAGATAGCACACAATTTCGAAACGAATGCCAATTTCTTCGAAGTACTGTATTGTACATCCGGAAAATGCACGAGGTGGTCATTTACAAATCGTTTCAGGTTTCGTACGACGCCAAAGCTCGAAAGTTCAAGCAATACTGCCACTGTTTCTGGTACACCCAGCTTCAAACTAGAGCAACTACTTCCGGCTGTTTCGGGAGCTGTGATGTCAAAACATAATAGGAAATGGACCGCCCATTGTTTTCTCGGAAAGAAAAAGAGGGATACTGTACTTCTGTTGATCATGAAAAGAAGGGTTCAAGGGCAACATCAAAAGAACTCCTCACAAAAAATGTTCAGTACTTACTGTTCTTCTTCCCTTTCACGTTGAGTTGTATGTCGTAGAAGGGCTCCGTCCGCGAGGAAGAATAATTCACATGCAAGCACTTGATATATGACTGAAACAGGAAGAAATTGGAGGTAAGAGAACAACAAACAGAGATTTCCTCTTGGCACTCACGATCATTTTTCCTTCGAACAACTTCGGAATAGTTCCTTCGACTGAAGTCCGCTTCATTTTACTCTCCAGGTTGTCCAGCAGCTGTAAAACACATGCTCAGAATTTTGAATCACACACAAACGAAAACGGAAGACCCACGACGTACCACGCGCAAGAATTCTTGGACGTCATGCTGCATGAAGGAATCCAGTGTTTCCCAGCCAAATGACTTGGTCAACTTTTTGGTCCCAACAGGTTTATCGGTAAATTGCAGTTCATAGAACACTCGCTGGAGGGCAAGAGGCACACTGCGAGCAGAATCATCACTTTCGGTCGGCATCTTGTATACAGCCTACAACATAACCAATATTGTACAGGCTGGAAGATACACCGCGAAAGCAGATTCAAATCGTCGGCATTTGGCGACGAAAAAGACTTGCTCCACGCAAAATGAAATGCGCTCACAATTTTAAAATACATGTACCGTATTTTCGAACAGAATCCTTTCACCAAATTCCGGGGAAAAACCTCAGTTTGGTTGTGCTTCAAGGCATCTCGGATTATCACATCCTAGAGACTTGCTAGGTTGACTATAGCACAAGTACTATAAACTGCTTTGAAGCAGTTCAGAAATGTAATACAGAACTGCACTTTCCAATATTCGGGATACCACAGCGGGAAAACACTAGCACGAAGGCATTCATCTCGTTCGAGACAACTAATAAGCTGGAAGGATCGAGTTGAACTCCTGAACTCAAGTCTTTAACTTCGGAGCATAATAACATACCTTCCGCAGTCGATTCGTGAAATACAGAACTTGCAACAAGGAGTTCATGTAACACGTTGCACCCTGATTTTTCAAACCGACGTATCCAGTGTGCTTTTTACTATCCCAACTGACTCCATGAGGCGCGTCCGCTGTCACATGAACTTCAAGCGTAATTGAATCGTCCTTTATAAAGCCTTTTTCGGGATCTAAAATGTCCGCCCAGGTCACAAAATGACTGAAACCCCAGTCATTCTCCTTGCTGTAGAACAGGTGGTTTATTTCTGAAACGAAAAACACAACCGCTTCAAGCAATAAGTCGAGATAGAACCACTTCCAAGATCAGAAACATTCTCAAAAGGTGCGCTTATACCTAATGAGCAACTTGAATGGGCATTTTCATCAACAGTTCGCTGAAATTTTACTGAAAAAATCAACAATTGGACAGAATACATGGGCCCATCTGATCAACAGAGAGGCACGTCAGTAGGATTTTCACGCTTTATCTCCGTAGTAGAGATGCTTCAAGTCGGGAATTTCGCGTAAACCTCGTGAAAAAATCTGTTCTGCGCGTACAGAAGGACAAAGACAGGACCATTAGAGGTAATTCCGAAAGGCTCAATGCCCCATTCCAACGATTCCAAAAAAAAAAACACGTACTATTCGAATGCTGTACATGAGACGCTTGTTCACATGATCATAACAAGTGATGGTGAAGAAAAGGAATCGCTCACGGAATACCGCTCAGAAAGAAACTAAACAAACTTACTCCGTGAAAACGGCTCTTCCCCATTGCGTTTCAACATTCGCAAATCCGCCACAGCATTGCAACTCCAGGATGACGAGTCTGAGTCTCCATTGCATTGCAGAAAGAACCCTAAAGATTTCACCAATGTCTTATCCGACCCCTGCAAGAAAGACAAGAACATCACATCATTCCACCTTTCAATACCACTAAGACTTCTCAAGCTTCAAAGAAATACCGGCTCAAAACAAAGCTCGAAAACGAATTTTAAATTAGAAGAAGTGTCACTTGAAGAATTCACCATGAACCCGGAAAAAAAACTCAACAGAATACCGAAAGAAACACGAGGAGAAAAGGACTATCGTAAGCACGACTATCAATAACGTTCAGAAGTGGTAAACCAACCGGTTGACTTCGCTGCATGACCATAATCTTCCACGGAAGGTTACGAACAAAATATGGTGGAGACAGGGCAGTTTCTTTGAGCTTGCTAATATTATCCACGGTGTACGAGAACGTTCCCTCAGAGCGTGCATCGTCATCTTCTTCTTCCATCGCCACTTCGCCGTTTTCTTTGGTGGAAGAGCTTATTTTGGGTTCTTGAGGAGCTGACGATCGACTTCTGTAATCCGCAAGCGGATTAACCTCATTATTGTTAGGAGAGGGATGCTTTCTACTCCGAGATCGACGGTATTCATTATACTGATTATTAGGAGGAATGACGAGCTCTAGGTCATCATCAGGTTCCTCATCGTCGTCTTCTTCCTCCTCTTCATCATCATCATCATCTTCGTCCTCTTCGTCGTCTCCTCCTACGACTCTATTAATGAGCCCAGCACCCATCAGGGGTTGTAGGCCGCCTGCTGACGCCCTTTGCCAAGTTCGGTTCATTGGGACAACCGGTGGTGGATTCGGGTTCACTTCCACTGAAACAGCATATTTTGGAAACGTAAGCAAGCTGTAGCCGTTGCTAGACACAAATTTACTACAGCAAGTCAAACTTCACACAATGCGAAAATTTGATCGATATCGGCGGCATTCGACAGGATTACTCTCATACACTCGCAAAAACTTGAACTGGTACCACTTTCAAAACTGCGGACAGCGCATCTACACGATCTACATAATTCGACGAATGTGTTCGGATTTATTTTTATGCCGTAATATATCGTATTACTCTACTAGTCGGAATAAAAAAAAAAAAGAATCGAAGCATTTCGGACACAAATTTAGCAACATTCTTGAACTATTCTTACCCTCCAAAAATCATGGACTATGTTCAGATATAGGATAGAAATCCCCATATTTCCTCATTTCAGAGTTAAGTTGGTAGGATCAGAGTAAATCTGAAGCTGCTCGAGTAAGTAATTCAGGGTACTATCCTGTTACCTCAGTACTTTCCCTCTGACCGACTTAACCTGACCTAACCTAACTTCACCTAACCGCCTCCCAAAATTTAGTTTCAGCAGAATACGGAAAAATAAAATTCACAGTTTCTGGTAGGTTGTCGTGATTATGAACTCGTCCTAAAGATTTGTCTGGATGGTAGTTCGGTCTGGGAATGAGGTACTTTCCTTTTATCTCAGATAACAGGAAAGTACCTAATTCAGTCCAGAAGAAATTCCTTCAGGAGGAACTCCCGAAATTCGTCGAGAACAATTCAGTAGGTCGAAAGATGTATCTAACGAAACCGGGATATGGGATCAAGAAACGGCAATCCAAGTTTCGCCGCACGCAAATTCTCATGCGGTGCACGAAAGCTGCATTACAAGCTAGTTCCGAGGAAGATACCACGCTAATACGTGCTCAAGTATTGTGGATGACACCCGATCAGCGAAGATGAATCACATTTACTCTCAAGCCGCGGATTAGAACAGAAGAAAAACAGAATCTATCTTCGTCCTCATCTCACTTTCTTGCAATTCCGGTTCATCGTGATCTGGTGAGTCCATTGCAACGTGATCTGGAGCCGGGTTCATCTCCTTTCGCTTCAATACGACAGGCGCTGGATCATGGCGTGACTTTTCCTTCCGTTTACGGAACTTGCTCTCAGCGTCTTCGCCGGACGCAGACTTCGCGTGTTTGCTCGCGTTTCGCCCAATGTCTGCAGTTTTCGTCGGATTCGCCCCGACGCCCACAGCGGACGCTCAACGCATTCAAGTGCACGAGTGAAAGAGACCACGTCGCGCAGAATCTCAAGTGTAATGTCAGCGACGCGCGGATAAGATCAACATTCCACGATCACTATAACTAAATTTCGATGGTCTGAAACTTACGTCAGAATTTTCTTGCCCTTGCTAATTCCGTGTTATTTAATTTAATAAAATGAATTCGAATGTAGAACTCTCCACCCGAAAGGTTGTATTTCACACATAACTACACCATTTATTTCGGATGAGCGGCTGCAGCACGCTTCATTTGGGTCAAAACGTTGTTCAATTCCTCACGCTTCCTCTTCCCACGCACATGGGTACCCAATCGTTTCTTCAGAAATTTCAAGGCACGCTTGTCCTTGGAAACTTTCAACAACTCCATCGCACGTTTCTCATACGGACTGAAGCCGCTAACTTCGCGTATTATGTCCCGAATGAACTTCGTATGTTTTGAAAGTCGACCCTTACGTGCCGCTGGTCGCGGCTTCCGCTGATTCTTCGTGACCGGAAAACCTTTCTTCAGCCCAATCGCGATCGTGTACTTGACAGGAGCCATTTGACTGCTTGATGCTGCGACCACGTATTACAAGACCTGATAACAAAATAACTTCCATGAGCGGACTTCAAAACAAACTCAACGAATGCATAATCGCGCTTCCACGAGGAACGTGCATTTCACAATGAAAATTCAGCAGTCATTTCAGTGGATTTTCCCCCGTAATCAGCCGATTCTAGAATCTTCTACATTTTCAAACGAGTTAGGATGGAACGAAAACTCGTGGCATTTACACACTTCCGGAAATCTGTATTCTGCAAAGTAAAAACCACCTTCCCTACCCATCTTCATTTCAGAAGACTCATTGACAAGATATTTGTGGGTAGATGAAATGTTAACGCACAATTCCTCATGATCCACCAGGACCAACGCCCAGCAATGCGTCTGAACACGACCGCACAATAACTCATTCCTATCCACACTTTTGAAGTAAATGCATCTCTCCATTAAACACTGAAGGCAACTTCGGGAGCCGCGCTGACACCACCCATACGCACACCACTTAAGAGATAACGAAATGTGCATACCAATACCTCAGGTGTACACACAACCCTAAACTTCACCAATAAACTGTCAAGCTCATCCTTCTTATTCTGAAACCGTATCCAACTCAGGAAGGCACTTAAGCGCACGAACGAACGTAAAAGTGCTCATGAATCAAGGCTGTCGCGATCACAGCGAGAACGGGACGAGCCCGGGTAGGGTGGAAGTACAGAACACAGAAACCCGGAAAGCTTCACCCTACATTACCGTAGATTCCCGCTCCACGGTAATTCCCCTAGAGCGTGGATGTCCAAGAACAGAGCCATATTGGAAGCCGGAGAAACCACCCTGATGTCGAATACGCACGGGAGAGTGTTGCTGAGACAAAAGGCATGAGGGGAGAAGAGTACAGTACTGAATTGTATGCATGCAACATCCTGGATGGGTTACATCAAAGTCCAGAGGTAGGAATTCTGCCCTGGCACACCACTTCCAAACAAAAAGGATGGGTGTTGTTGACAGTGTATTACCCTGAACACACTGCAAACATCACCTGGTCCATTGGATGAGAAGCATCAGAGTGCAACTCCAAAAATGCTGATGTACAGTCAACCCTCCCTTAATGTTTTCAGTTGGTGCAGCAGAAACAAACAGTAGTTGAAAAAGAACATTAAGCCAGGTAGTCTCTCCCTTAAGATATAAGGGAGAAATGTTTAGTTGGTGTTGGGCAATATCTTTTAATAAAAAAACAGGAACATTTACAGAACTTTCAGGTGAATTCAAGGTGCAAAATTTTTAAAATTATGTCCATAACAAAATTTTGTATGCAATTTGAAAATGAAACATTTATTGTGGCTTGATTTTCAAAAAAGCTTTGTGCTTTTGATTATGTCTCTGTCAATTGTGAATATTTTTTGTGATTTAAAAAAGGAAATGTTAAAAACTTTGACAAGCATCTAACCCTGTTTCAAGTTTGATGTTTGGTGCCAAGGAAATGTTTTTATAAATTTTTAAATTTTGAAAAGGGGGACAAAAAATTTAAAAATCCCACTTTAACTCACAACAATTTCTTCAAAATCAGCTCCATTTCAAAATTTTAACAGGGCTGGAAGCGCATTTAAGTTTTACAAATTTAGCAATTTTAACTTGGGAAAAATATTAAGAACTGAATCATTTGAAAATGAAAATGTGAAAAGATTTTTTTCCCAATTTTGGTTCAACTTTCAGAAACATTTTGCATTTTTCATGATAACCCAGCAAAGAATCTGGGCATCCTGCAGTTAGGCATACCAAGGGATGGACTAGCTATAGGGATAGGAGATGGGCATAGGAGTCCCCATGCGTGGGATGCTCTCCTGAAGTTGGATGCATCCCATGGGATTCCCTAAAAGATGGGCATCTGACAACCATCCCTGGGGATGGGGCGGCATCCCCAGATGCATCCTGCCATCATTGCAGGCAGCCGTTGGCCTTGGCTTGGGGGTGAGGGGGGGAGTGGGGAGGGCATGCCCAAACCCGTTAGAGTACAAAATAAAATTTGCAAGTGCTTAAGTGAAGTTGAATTTGAACTTTGTAGAAGTCACTACAGTGACTTGCAATGACTTGAGACATTTTGAAATGTTATTATGTAATATAAATAAGACATTTTGAATTTAGCTGCATTAAGAAGTACTTTTTCTTGAATTTCAAAAATCATATCTGAACTCTCCAATGTAATTTTTGAGTTGGCTTCAGAAAACATGTTGCTGTGGGTTTAAAATGGACAGAAATACACAAATGAGGTCTTGAATTGTAGACAACTTCATTGTCAAGCCTTGACATATTTTAATGTAATTTTTATATTGGTGGTATTTTTTTGGCAAGACAAAAAGTAGCTGAGTCCCAAATGGGGCACATGGCAGGTAATGGATTAAATATGATCAACCTCACAAAGTTGCCTTACAAAGTGTTGCAGAATCTGTTGGCTGAGAGACTAACTCACAGAAAGTCTCTTGGCTGACAGACTCACTCACAAGAAGTCTGTTGGCTGAGAGAGTCACTCACATAAAGTCTGTCAGCCAAAAGACTCAGATTGTGTTATACCTATTGGTAGAAAAAGTTTTTCATTGAGTTTTGCTGCAGGAGTGAAGGAATTGTTATGCTTTCTTCCCCTCTTACAACAATTTGCTCCTGTAGGCATTATGTGTGTGTAATGAGGGTTGATCTTTACATATTAGCATTACAAGGTATATCAAAGATGTGAATTTTCTTCTGCTGCAATCATTCCATAACTCAGCTCTTGGGGATTTAAGAGTTGCATTAGGATTAAGAACTGTGCAATAATCCCAGCCTAGCACTGAGAGATGTCCATCCCAGTTTAGGTGGGATTTGTTGGTTTTATTGGTTCTAGCTTTGTAATGCCACAGATATTGCAAATTTTTGTTTCAAACAATCCAGTTGGATAGATGTGGGTTTCTTACTTATACCCATATGGAAGATATAAGTAAGAAAACAGACAAGTGACACCTACATCAAGGTGGAAGTACTTGGAAGATGTAAAAGAATAGGGCATATGGGCTATTTCAAGATATTTGTTGCAAAAAATTCAGCTGGATAGTTATGGGTTTCATACCAATACCCATATGAAAGATGAAAGTAAGCAAACAGACAAGTGACACCTACATCAAGCTGAAAGTACTTGGAAGATGTAAAAGAATAGTGCATATGGGGTATCTCAAGATTTGTGTTGCAAACAATCCAGTTGGATAGTAATGGTATTCATACCTCTACCCACATGAAAGACAAATGTAAGAAAACTGACAACCCAGCAAATAATTTACCCATATTTTCACCCGTCAAACACCCATCATACACAGGTAGCAGCCACCCGTTTTGGGAAACAGGTACTGGGTAAAAAAAAAAACGGGTGATCACCCGTAGAACCACCCATTTTGGCATACGGGTGTTTTTACAGGTGAATGTGCTGAGCACCCGTTTTCTCCAAACGCCTGCTTTTTTAAAGCTAAGAGAGATTCAGCCATCATATACATGTGAATCACCCGTTTTTGGAAAAACGGGTGAAAAATAAACAGCATGCGCCATTTATACAGCTGTATAAAGGGGGCGCGCCGTTTTTACAGCATTTATAGTGGCCCATATGCTTTATAATTGGCACACATCATTTATACAGCTGTATAAAGGGGACAAGCCGTTTTTACAGCATTTATAGTGTCCTATATGCTTTATAATTGGCGCATGCCTTTTATACAGCTGTATAAATGGTGCGCGCTGTTTCTACAGCATATGGGCCACTAGATGAATGCTTATAAACAGCGCACGCCATTTATACAGCTGTATAAAGGGCATGCACTGCTAATACAGCATTTGTCTAGTGGCCCACATGCTGAATAAATGGCACAGGCCACTCTAAAGTGGCATGCACTGTTCATTTAGTAGCTCAGATGCTGCATAAACAGTGCAGCCCAATTTTAGCCAATTGGTGCTTCAAAAATGTAGTGCATAATCTGTTCATCATTCAATCACAACTATCTAGGCATACACACACCAGTAGGACAGCACACACACATAAGCTCACAAGGGCAACAGACAAGCACAGACAAATATCAACAGACACAACATTCCCCAGACAATACATGGAAAATTTTCAAATACGCTGGGGATTCAAACCACCGCCCCATGAAAACTGTGCACTTCACCATAACAACTAGGTTACACAACCAACATGATGTCTGAAGGTTGTAGTGCACTGCTATATTATACTGTTGCAGCTGTGTTTGAGAACAGCCCAGAGAACAGCACAGCTCTGTAAAGATATACATGTGAAAAATTCTCTGTTCTCTATATGCATGGATCTCTATGTGTTAATGATGATTAAAATTTCTGTAGTCTTTTGTTTTGGATGCATTGTTTATGTGGTTTCAAATTTTCCAGTTTCACTTTTTAAAACAAAAGTATTTTTAAATGCTTTATAGTGTATATATATGTTACAAATGGTATTTTTTATCATTCAAGGTTTCACTTGTGTGAACCTGCTAAAATCTGATTGTGGTGACTTGTCACCAGCATCTTTTGTAGTGCACCCT